GAAACAAGCATCGCGGAAAGCAAAACTAAAAGAAATGAATTAGCGCACGCAGTGACCGATGAATTAAGCCAAGAACGTGTTTGTTTTATTATACTTGGGTAACGCCGATTTCGTGAATACTGCACCTAAGCAACGCTGGTTACCTCATTAAAAGTACCTAAACATTTTAACCTCTTCCTTTTAGTATAATTTGAGACCAGTAATTTTGGCAATTGTCTAAGTTATACCGATAAGTTATACCGAATATCAAAACAATGAAGTTTTAAATGCGTTGTTGTACTTATTCATATTGTTAATTGAACTTCAAAACGGAAGTTTGTTGGCCATTTACACGAAGAATCAATAATCTTAAAATGTAAACATATTCCTTGAAATACTGGCATTGCTGGTTAAAATACAATGTCAAGCAGCCGTATGCGCTTATTCATTTTTTTTTCAAATCGACAAAATTAATTATAGATTTTTATATTGAATCTTGAGTATACATATGTATTTCTTTATTATCCTTTTCAAAGTTTTCCGTTTTAGATGGCTCGGTTAAACTTTGTGTGTTTGGATACATTAATATGATTCTATTGTCATCGATCCGTAACCAATTCATCTCTATCTCAAGTGATTTATAGCGGTACGGTATGGTTTCCTAGCAGTTTCCTTCCCTTAAAAATGTTCATCCAGAACAGTCTGTTTTTACCAGTAGAGCATCTATGTTACTTCGTTAAATCAGAGAGACATTTGTTTTCTATGGAACACATTAAAATAGTACAGCGATTTATATATTTTGAAGTTTTGTCTGTTATTTAAAGTTACCTTAGAGAACATGCGAAATTTAAAAATAATCACCACCTGGGAAATTCTTGTTTGAATCACAGGCGGCAGTATCAGTGTTTGGACACCCCACCCCTATCTGCCCCTGGACCCCTACTACAACCCTGAAAAAAAATTCAACACTCTAAGGCTTACTATAAGGTACCAAATACAAAACCACCGATGAAATTATATATAAAAAAAAAATTTCCACTATCAAAATTATAGTTATAGAAAGGTGTAAAGCCTACTATATGTCCATTTGCCAAACAATGTGGAACACGGGAAATCGTCGTTTCGGCGACTGAGGCGCATTCCGGCGGGATTTCGCTGCATCATTCATTAACATTAATAAAAAGAACTAGAATTCCTCAGTTTATGTAATTCAAGTCCAACGAATATCACTATCATTCCGATTTTTTCTGTTTCACGGTATTTTTTTAATTGTCGTAGCCATTTTGCAGTCTGATACCTGGGTTGAAATACGCGATCTGATTGGACGAGCCAAATTGGACGTCCAATCAGATCGCGTATAACACACAGGTATCAGAATCCAAAGTGGCAACGACAAGTCAAAAATTACCGTGAAATAGAAAAAATCGATAGAATATTGATATTCATTGGACTTGAATTAAGTAAGCAGTGGAATTCAAGTTCTTTTTATTGATGTAAATGAATGATGCAGCGAAATCCCGCCGGAATGCGCCTCAGTCGCCGAAACGACGATTTCCCGTGTTCCACATTGTTTGGCAAATGGACATATAGTAGGCTTTACACCTTTCTATAACTATAATTTTGATAATATGACCTATACTGTGTCGGTGTGACGTACAGCTATACCACATGTGCAATGCTCTTGATTGAACATTGACTAGTACCCACTGACATGGCCAAGCAAACAGTAAAAGTTTGAGTATGAGAAAATACAGATTATATATAGTTTTGCATATTAATCAACTGCAGGTATTTACAAAAAATAATTGCCTTACCGACTACGTAGATGTTGGTGTTAGAAATTGAGTTCACTTACCGAAACACAACAGGTTTGTTTAGAAACACATACATCTTAAAGTGTTTCATTTTTCAAGATAAATGACACTACAAGAAATTATTATCATTGTTATGCAAGCTATGCTAACATTTCTATATGACTTTGCATGGAAAACTAAGAACTAACATATGCAAGATAACCAGTTTTACTTCGAAGATACTTCTTGTTTATATTTTTCAGACGAAGCAAAATCTTTGTGGTGATGCTTAAGAGAACAAGTAGGGTATGTCTTACAGTGAGAGTGAGTGCATTCATTTATATACGTCGTATTAGTTGTATTTTATTGACTCGTAAAGGGACCTTCGAAATTTGAAAAAGATATCATCAGTCGAGTATCTATATCTGCGTATCAGATAGATCTCGTCGACAGCCGTCATCGATAATGTCAATAACAGTCGAAAAAATAAAAACATTTTGTCAGATTGTATAAAATGATAACAGTAGTTATGTAGCCATCATGTAAACAGAATATATTTGTTTAATTTATTTTGAGGTCATTTTTTGCGTTGCTTATCTTCGTATACTAAAGTTTTTCAATGATTATACAAAACTGAATAATTTAACTTAACTTAAATAAACTTTAAGAGGGTTATTTTCGCGTAAGTTTATGAATGCATTATCAGACAGTCTAACTTAGACAGGTGTATCGAACATGTGATCCTCGGTAACCCAAGTATACACTTCATCCGCACAAGTCAGCGAAATCAGTACCCGTGGGTTCCGACGATGTTTCACTTATGACCCCTAATATCCGCTTTGGGTAATGAAAAATTGAGAAAATGCAACATTCGAAAAGTAGAAAGAAAATTTATAGTTTGTATGTCAATTTATTTAAGTTATTATTTTGTTTGGCGGCTTTGTTTTTGTTACCATTCGCAATATTAATGTTATTTTCAAATTGAAAACGATGAACATGAAGGCACTTACATGGTTCGTTTCGTTATAAAAAAAAGTCCTAGATATTTAAAGGCCCGAGGTTTTTGACATGGCATATAAACAGAAAGATTCATTGACACAATATATCAATATGTGATGTCCAAACTCCAAAATATATCTGATAGACTGTTGCAAAAGAAAAATGGCGGCGAACAAATAAATAACGAGTCGAGTACCTATATGAATATGGAAGTTACACTTGTTACGCTGTCAAGCATGTTAAAACCAAGGATGACCTTTTTGAAATGTTGATTTTTTTTCTACATTGATGATTGACACGATTTGTCATCATGGTTTGGCTGTTTTCGACGTTATCTATGTTCGTTTTATGTCGGATTTCGTCGTTATCAACTGTTGTTATGATTGCTTGCCAAATTCAACAATCATAATATTATAAAAGGCAGTTTAATATTCAATGATATGGAAGCACAGAGAGTACGTAAACGAAAAAAAACCTTATATGTTTGAAAATGAAATAATGAAATTATATCATGTTCAGCACGAGAATTCAATCACGTGGCCGTTTAAGAAATAAAGCATTTGACTAGATCTGCTACGAGTATATATGTTTTGCACAGAATAACATTTTTAACAACAATCGGAATTGGGCTCGTATGATACAATGGTGAATTGTGGAATAGCATTAGAAGTTAAATCTCTGTTTGAACGGCGCATTTCTATAAGTCAAATTAGAAGGCCAAACTGTCGATTTGAAAATAATGACTTGTTTTGGTCAACACTGGGGTCAATTATAGCCATTTGAATGTGTCGTCAAACCATTTCGAGTGTTTACGCTGTTCACGCCAGGGCAGCTATTCATGTATACAAACTTCATTATCACAACCATTACCCCTCTAGCAACTAGTTACAAAGTTAGTTTTTATTACGGTCTAAAACTGTTCCCCTTTATGTGATAACACCCAAAGAGCCCAGGGATACACTGCACCTGGGGTCCAAACAGTCAAAGGTCCCAGTCCCTTTCATCTGTGTCAGGTGAAGTGGTCCCACTTATGGAAGATAAAGACCGGTTTTTATCGCGGCTTGAGATAGTTTAATGGAGTTTTAAGAAAGTAAAGTTTATGATAAATTGACTTGTCTTCAGAATTTATGAGTAGCTTTATTACTGAAAAGGTCTCTCATTTATCATCGTGTCCGTCTTTGTTTAGGTAGTCCTCTTATTATAAGGTCATTTAAAAACCTGGAGACCCAATATTACCGAATTGAACTGGTCATACTTTATGTTATCCTGTGTCAGACGTTAATGACAAAATATTTAGTTAAAATAATTTATCATTATGAAAACTCGAGAGGAGTTTGAAGAAACAGTGGCTATTGTTGTTTCTATATAAACAACCTTGGGAAACGACTGTTCAAAACTCTTTATTACAAAATTGCCAGAAATTTATTTTTAGCATATGTGTGTTATCATTCTAGCAGGTGAACTCATACAGGTTGTTTTGACTTAACATACAGTTTTTGTATTTGAAAATGTGGGAAATTGAAAACATAAATTTAAATTGCAATTGACAATCATTCGTTTGCGTCGTATTAAATACTAGAAGCTGTTTTGACAAGACCAGAACGTTGAATTCGACTTATTCCACAAGAAGTCATATGCAATAACGAAAAAGGGGTTCCGAATAAAATGTACAAGTCACAATGAAATACAAAAAGAATGCGCGATATGCCATCACTCTACGTTCGACTGCGCAAAAAACGCATTAACTTCTCATTTTATATACCTTAAAATTGTTTTTTATATGACTTACTTTTATCAAAATAATATTTTAAGAAAATACCAGTTTGAGACATTGCGAATATGATAGAGATACATAATATATGTTGGTTGACTGACATAAAAAAAAGTGCTTGGTATGTAAGAAAAATATTTCTTTAAGTAGCACTCAAACGAAACCATTTGCGGAAGTTCTTATAAAACATTGAGGTAAGTTCCATTCAAACAAATACATTTAGTCTAAGTCTTTGTCTTCCGTTCTAATCCTTTTCTTGCATATAAAAATGTTTGATTTGTATTGTAAATGCATACATTTGTATATATGTTTTAAACTAAACAAAAGCATTCAGGGACGAAAACATCAAGGGAAGTAACGAATGAATATTTCAGAATAGATCTATAGAATAATAGTTTCCCTCTTTACAAGTTGTTAAAGAGCACAGTTTTTTCATTTAAATAAGACAAAAACACAGATTCAAGGTTTTATATCATTTTATTCTCACCCGAGAATTTTTAAAACAAAAACAAATAAATAAAAATACAATTTCTATATACAAGTACATTTACAATAATTATAATACAACATATCTTTCACATTTTCTACCGTCTAAAATAATTCTTAAAGTCGACTTGACAGAACAACAGTTGATGTATAGAACAATAAAGATTGACAGAAATCAAGAAAACATAAGTTGTCGAGGGTTGAATAACTGACCAGAATGTTAACAAGTAACCAGAGGAAAGGTAAGAACAAAGAGCATGATAGTATTAAATAGGAAACATTCAGCAGCAGACATGTTGATGTTTTTATAGAGGTAAAGTTCGGTATTCTAATCTGAACAAACGCTTAAATAGTGTCGTTTGAGCGCTATTTTCATCTATAGGTTGTGTAATATTAGTACCAATGACGACACAGGCAATATGGATTTTAAATTCCATGTTACCGTCCGTGTTAACTTGAACACACAGTCATATTATGAAGTTTGATAGTAAGATGAACACATATGTTTACATCCGAACACGAAGGGCATCTGTATAAATGAAGTATGATTTGATGATACACATCTGACAGATAGACAGAATCTTTACAGCTTTCACTCTAGAGTGTTTTTGTTCATAACACAGTTGCTGTAAATCACGTTTGATACTGATAATCACGAAATGTGCTTTGAAGTTCAAAGCACGAACAATGCTATAATTTAATGAAGTTATCACAGTTAGTTTGCTCGTTTGGTTGCGCAATGGATCATAAGTTTCTCGCTAGCTGTATCTAGCAGACTCTTTCCTTTGTTCATGAGGCCCTCTCCGAAACAAGCTTGAACTGTTCCACTAATGCTGTCTTTGACATCGGGGAATCTCCTACAATCAGTGCACATGCGCTTGTGAACTCTGCAATAGACAAAAAAAGAGAACGATATAAATTTGACTACAAAAATGCATGAGTAAATTTAATAATATATTATTTCTAAAGTTTTTTCACATAATATATTTTCCCGACCAGGAACAGAAGATTGAGGTATTTATAGAAGTCAGATTTGTCAACAAATGAGAATTCTAGAAAGACAGACTTCATTAAGGTTTTCAATTAATTGATTTACATTTTTATTTATATAACTCTTAAGTGCAGACATAGGGGACGAAAAAAAGTAAACCGTGACAATTAAAAAGGGAGGTCCTTTTTTAAAAGGGATAACAGTTTCTCCCTGTGTAATGCCCGGTTATGGGGGTTTAAGTTATTTTAATAAAAAATTTAAATTTTGAGGGGAAAATGACCAATAAAAAATAAAGCGGGTTTGGTACATGTATGGCAGGTTAGCAGACCCCGCCAGGGAAAAAACTCTAAAGGGGGTTCTATCGGTAATTTTGGGATTGAAAACCCAAAGAAAAAAATTTCTGAAATTTTTATCAAAAACCATTTTCATTTTGGTAGGGGTTTTTTTTTTTTAAAATTATTTGTCATAAAAATAAAATTTTTTCTACTCTGACTCAAAAAAAGAAAACCAAAAAATTTGACAATTTTTTTAACTTTTTGCAACTTTTCAAAACCCAAAAAATTTTTTGGGGTTTGACAAAAAGGGGTTACCCTAGATACGGTACTGAGATAAAGACTTTTGTATTTGTGTGGAAAAAAATTTTTTTTTTTGTTTTGAGGATTGAAAAGGGGGAAGTTATGTGAAGTATCCGTGAAATTAAGGACATTTATTGCATTCTTCAAACCTATTATTCCCATGTCAAAATGCTTTTAAATACTTAATGGATTCTTTGAAGGTCGCTTGACATAATAACACTCGCTATAAGGACATGCCAAATGCCTCCGTTTACTGAAAAGTACGAACTAGATGGACCGGTACAAGTTGAATTACAATATTGGACGGCGACTTTTTTTACTGGTCAAAAAGATAAATTCACACAGACGAAATAATACAGTCTGTGTGGTATGAATGTTTGGCGTGGGCAGGATGTCGGGAGTGCGCGTGTGTTTTTTTAAGTTGGTTTTGTTTTATATATATTCAGAAAAACTAGATCAGTTATCAGTACCCAAGTCAGCAGATCGCAATATCTTTTATTTATTTTATTTCTTTTTTTCTTATTTTCTTTGTAACTATCATCTATTTATTTTTATTTTTGCTAAGATCTCGCGGGTTCACGCTAATGATTGTAATAGCCCTAAATTGTATCAGGACCATTACAATCTTTGATATTCAATCTGCAGATCAAAAGAAATAACCAACTATTCAAAATTGACCACAGTGAAAAAATGCTTCCTAGCATGTATACAAAGACAGACGATAATTGCTATTTTCAGTACATTTTGAAATTGTTACAGATCGACGACGAGATTCTTAATTGCACTTTTTAACTGTTAAAAGTGGTCAGTTCACGATGGACGGCCGGTCTTCAGGCAAGGACCGTGTTTGATAATTGCATCGTTTATATGGGCGACTTTGGTTGAAAAGATTGACAAAATGCTGACGTTAATGCTTGTGGTGAGGGAACAATGCGCTGTAGAGTACATTAGAGACATGACTATTGATTGGTAATTAATAAAATGGTCGACTGCTGCGTCCGTGAAGTCAGCAGAAGGCATCGGCAGACGATACGAGTGCTGTTAAAAAGGTATTTACTCCTTTAAGAGGAGAAATATTAAAGATTGTTTACTTTTATGATGCTACATCTTTTAAATTGGTAGCGTCCATTTTTTATCTGAAATTAAATTTAAGGTTTTCCCATTGATAAATATGTTACTGTATCAAACAATGTAAAATGTCAGACTTTATCCAGGGGTTTTAAGGAGTCTGAATGGTACTTCTCGGACAGGTTAGTGTCCGGTTACACGTACCTGTCAAGCCTCTAAAACATCTAATTATCTCTCCATAATGTATCGAATGTCAAATTATTTTAAGTACTTGAAAAATGTTTACTCATGTTTAAAATTTATACTGCCGAAAACGCATTAAATCAACAAAATGAAGAGAGAAAAGTATAGCTTTAAGCTACTGATCGTATGGTAAAAGAATAAAGTAAAAAAACTTTCCTAATTCACATTTCATTCTATCTAAAATGATAATCTTAACATCTTAATAGTATTACATACAATGAAAACAAAATAGCTACAGGCGTAATACACATCAATAACTCCCATAAAATCGCCCCTTCCCCACTCCACCCCCCCCCCCCCCCAAAAAAAAAAAAAAACACGGTCGCTGACTCGCTGTACCATACCTTAAACTCACAATAAATGATGACTTTATACACTGTTTGATATAGTAACATAAGTATGCATCTATTGATTTGCAAAAAAGTATAAATTTAATGTAAAAGTAATCTTGTTTGGAAACTACAAATCTAATATGCAATACTGTCGTCAAAGTATTTATAATTTTATTCTTTAATTATATTTTCGAAAATTTTATTTTAATTTTCTACAAATGAATATCAACTTTTTCATCCTTGAAATATGTAAAAATCATTTATGACGTTCTTCACAAATTTTATTACAGATGAAATATATCTTACTAATTTTTTACCCTGTCATCGTGAATGTTGTATCCAATCTAACAAGTTTTTTTTTCCAAAGATGTTCAAAGTGATCAAATCTTTGATTAACTAAACTGATTATACACTCTTGAAACGAATTTGCAAAACAAAATTATCTATATTTAAATAACTTTAAAATTTGCGACGCCCATTTCGGTTCATTACTTTTCAATGAAGTAAGTTTTTTAGTATGAAGGATGTTAAATTTGATCATGATTCAGCAAAACTGATATATTTCTATAAATGATGCAAATTTGATAGGATGTTACGCTGTGGATCCCCTATATTTATATAACTTTTTTCTTTCTTCCGATAATTTCAGTATTTGACATGACAAACAATGAACATTACTTGTATATCACTGTTCTTTTTTTCCTCTCTTCTTTTTCACTTTCAGATTTGATATAAAATAACCAACATGGTAAGTGTAGCCTAGGGACTTACATAAACTTCACTATTAGATAATGTAATACAAAATACGTTTCAATTTCTGCCTTTAGGAAAAAAAATACATTAACAATTACATAATTATGTTCGCTTGGCTGCAAAATGAATTAAATTTGATCCTGTATCAATTGAATGGTAATTTTTCTATATGTCTCGTCGTCATATCTTGTTTCAATTAAGAGACCAAGTATCTTGTTTCAATTAGGAAAACTTCTAAGATATATCATGTTTCAAACAACAAAAAGCTGCCAGTGTGACTAATTCTAACATGGATGAACCAGCTAAAAACTAAACTAAAATATATTATGGTGCTTTTTAAAATTGAAGTTCTGAAGCTCATTCTGAGCCTATAATCTAGGAATGAAAATCCATTAACTACCTGTATTTTTTTTTACCAATTGCTTAATTTTTGTTCGTTTTACGGGTCCTTGACAACCACTATTATAAATGATTTAATAAGTCTTTCCCCATAACCATTACCACTAACTGTCTTAACTGGTCTCGTCCATCTTTCACTCAGGATAACACCATCAAAATACATATATATATGAATAGCGAACAGTGCAGATTCAAGATCAGACGACACGGGAGTGTTTAGCTTGTTTTGGTCTGTACTTGTCGCATGCAGTGTAAAATCAGTTGCCAACAACAGGCTAATGGTTGAAGAGCGCACCATGTGCATCTCGTGCTAAACGAACGTTTGAGAAAGATAACCCACTCCTTCAAACAAAGGACGAGAATAATCTTTTTCTTTTTAGCGAAATATTTTAAATACTTTTTAAATGATAACAAAGGCAATGTCAACTAATGTTAAACACTTTTTTCACAGATAGGAAGTTTTAAAAAAGAACAATAAAGAAATAAGCATCTTTATCCCGGCCACTTAATCTACTGTGAAATCTCTCCAATGGACAAATTAGGTTTAAATTCTAACTAAACTATTTCACTTGTTACAATCGTCTTTTCATTCTTAAACAAAATGTTATTTCAAATCTTTCATCACAAAATAAGTACATGTATTTACATAGATCACTTATTGTATACACATACTGCAAATGTTTTGGGTGGTAATGAATGAACAGGAAACGAACTATTTTTTTAACCGCGCAGGTATATGTATGGGATAATTTTGCCCTCAGTGTCTTTGTTTAAAACTGGGTATAACGTTTAAGGGCTATCATTATGGGTCCTTTGTTAGTGTAATCATGAGAGTCTTAATTTACAAGTTTTTCAGCATGAGGATGATATTTCATTGATAGTTTGATTTTTTATTACCAATGATTCATGAGCCGTGAGAAAAGTACGGCAAAATGTCAATGGCACTTAGATGATGGAAACGATTTGTTCAGTGCTCGTAAGTTTTTTAGTCAAATACCAGCAGTGCACGAACATGAAAATTGCTCCAATCTGTCGTGACATCAGGCAATAAAAGAGCATGTCATTGAAAGAGGCCAATTGATGAAAAAAATGACTTGAAAAAAATGTTACCATGAAAACATTCGAGAAGAAAAGAAAAAGGGTTTGGTAAAAAAGGGGTTTGTGTCTGCAATTGTGTGAATGAAACTATCTCAATAGAAGTGGCTTCACGCTCAACACTTGTTAAATGAATGATGTAATTCAGAAATGAAATTGTCTCTTTTTTTCGTAAAAAAATATATGATAAAACCGACTTTTGCCGTGTTAAATTTCATGCGTTAAAGGAAACGAAAGAAAAAGAAAATGTGAAATAAAAAATCATAAAAAGACAGTGTCAAGAAGAACAGTGAAGTGAGTGATGGAACGGAAAAGATCTTGATCAGAGAAAAACTTTTTGTCTCATCAAACATTTTTGGTTTTAACAGTGAAATAATAAAGACTTACCAGGTTCGCATATTATCTCTCTTTCCTTTCGTCGGCAAACAACGCAGGTGACAAGCACTATGATGATCCCGGCGACGCATGTGACAACCAGAATCCCGACTAGAACCATTGTAATGGTGAACCATTTGTCGTCATTTTCTGTGACAAAATCCATTGATGTTGTCGGCACTTTCGTGTTTCTTGCTATTTGCTGAACTTCAGAATCTGCTGATTTCGACGCCGAGTGTTTACGGATAAACTGGAACTGTGACAATGGTCCACAAGAAGTGTCTTGGTCTTCGTAACATTTTCGTCGAATAACCTGATTGTCCTTGCACGTGGAACAGGGGGTACATTCCATCGTTTGTAAGTTAAAGAAATAACCTTGCCGACAGCTGTATATAATGTCTGGTCGTGAGGCCAAACAACAGACAAGCACGGAGGCTAAAACTATCACGTTCTTGAAATCCATTTTTTATCTATTCCTGAAAATAAAAGGGGGAAAATGTTACAAAATCCAAACAAAAATTATGTAGTTTTTACATGTAGATTATGCGCATTGCACTGGAATTCCACTAATATATTTATAAACGTTACATCAGAGGAAGGCTTATAGCCCATCCCAACATACTTCATGAAATATGAATGATGTCATTAACATCTGTCTACTTGAATATCATAATAAAATAAATAGTTGTGGTCTTTGTCTGTCTCCAGCATTTATTGATATTTAGTGGAATCACGTACATTTGTACAATCGTGTATGAGTATTACACTGATTAACATATATGTATGGAAGAACTTAGTGATATTTCACAAAAATTATTATTAATCTATAATGTTAGAAAAATATCAAAACTTGGCATAACTGTTACGTGTATTTCTTAACTGTACCTGGGACCAAAATTGAAAAATATACTTATTTTTTGTCCCAGACTGTAGATCTACTGTATTTAATAAAAGTGTTAACTTAATATAAAAAAATAAAATGAAAAAGAAAATGTAAAATAAGAAATTCACAAAAAGACATGCAGTGTCAAGAAGAACAGTAACTTTAATATAAGTAAGTGCTTACTTTAATATAAGTAAGCAATATACGTAAGTATTTATAGTCTAGAAATATATCCTGTAATAAAACATTAAGATCATAATACATAAAACACACCCGATGTAATGGATATAAGTTTATGAATATAGTTTTTTAGGAATGTTCATTTATGGTTCACACCTACACGAGATGTAACATCTCTGATATCATCCCATTATTTCAGCATACTTATTTATAGAATTTCGTCTGCTGACATCAGCAAAACTCTTGTTAACTCATGATAAAATATAAAATATGCATGTAAGTATGGTAAAAAAAACAATAACTTGCCTATCAAAATATTTCATTTATTGTTATTGTTTTAGTATTGATTGCAAATCATTATCCAATTGCATCGCATTATACATCAAAATGTCAAATGTATTGGTATTTAGATAAATAATTCAAATAAAGTAATTTAGTTTATCATTTGTAAATATAATTTTAAAAACTTAACGTATAATACTATATATCTTATTTTAACTCACCAAAATAAAGTAATCTATATTAATTCCGTTCAAAGAAATATTATATCCCAATCAATTTTCACGCAAACTTTAAATAAACGTCAACCTTTCGTCTGCGGTGGTTCTGTTAAGACTGAATTTAAAGCAGACGACACACGGATATTAAACTACAGCGTGCGTCTCTACATGTTCATACCTGTTTCAATTTACAATGGGTTCCCACGATGACGTCACAATTTCAACCAATCAGAGAGCCGGTTTGATAATTTATGCACACTAAACTTCTATTATCTCCAAAAATACCAAAAACTGGGTTATTCGTCAAGCTTTGATATTTTCTCAAGCTCATTCATGAATTATCAAAATACTTGAGTTTATCTTTCGACCAGATCAAGTAAAGTCTCGTTCAGTGATGTTCTGATGGTGTAGTTTTACAACATGTGTTTTATGTATATACCAAACTGAATGGTTTGATTGAGTTACTCATCGGGCTCTCTAGATAAAGCTGCTCAATATTGTGACAAACAGATGACACGATTAATTGCTAACGTGGCGTTAAACAAGATACCTTAAATAATTGACACATTGTTACTTTAAAAGTTGATTATATTCAATTTATCGCCCTTTTTCGTTTTTTTATCTTTCGGTTTTGCTTATTTTCTTTCTTTTTTTTTAATTCTTTTCTTTTTTATGTAATGCTAGAGATTAACATGTTACAGAGAAATATGTGTAGATAGATATAAATGATGTAACCGAAATCACGGCTTTAATTAAAGTCGTGCCGAAATGTAATTATTCCACGAGATTTTATTTATGCTCCTGTGCGGAATTTTATTTATCTATTGTCAATAGCAGCGTTATATAACATATGTATAAGAGCAACTTTAAAGTATATATTTTTTGAAGTCTTTCTCACAATGTTTAACTTTTTGTATATATTTATGAAAAGTTCAAAAGCTTGATAAATTGGTGCCAGAAAGCAAAACAGACCCGAGTCTGCATGGAGTCTAGGGAATGAGAAGAAAATTTTGATAAGATACGCAAAAACAAAAAAACCTGACGCCTGCTCAGTATAGGAAATCAAGATTAGGGATCGAACTCCGAGCAGCACGGCTCCTAGCAGATATGTTAAATCGCAGACGAAAATATATTAAATCCCAGACGAAAAATGTTAAACTGCAGACGAAAATGCATAATTATGTCAATAACTTAATACACATTCTCAAATAAATCAGTTATGCTGACGACAATGCATTATTATTATTATTATTATTATTATTATTATTATTATTATTATTATTATTATTATTATTATTATTATTATTATTATTATTATTATAATTATTATTATTATTACTATTATTTCAGAGGTTTTTACAAGCTCTAAATTATTTATTCTGTCCAGAAAATATTTTTTGATATCTTATGAAGATAATTCATTTGTTAAAGATATGTATATTAATGTGTCGATGCTCTTCTTTTCTATTTAATTTACACAGCATATGCTATAAAAGTCAAAATATTTTCTGCAAGTTCTTCACTTCTTATGAAAACAGAAGCTGATGAAATATTTTTTGTGATGTATTGTTTCACCAAAATCATGTTAGTATAACATTTATATGTAAAACAGCTTTAAATTGGTATTAACAACACTACATCTATACAACAATATTGACTGCAATCGTTTCCAATCAAAAATACGCTTTGAAGTTATTTTTCGGTATAATATACTGTCACCTACCATTTAGCATAGTGAGAACACATACATGATTAAAACCGCTTTAGGTTTGTTGTATTTTTAAAGGTGATAACTGGCCGGCTGATTGTTATTAAGGCGGTAATGACTTCAAAGTGAATGTGTTTTAATGCTATTTATCGCATGTTCAAATGTGGTAAGTGTTAAAATAACAACATTAAATCACTCCCATGACGCAATAAGAAAGAAAGAAAGAAAGAAAGAAAGAAAGAAAGAAAGAAAGAAAGAAAGAAAGAAAGAAAGAAAGAAAGAAAGAAAAGAAAGAAAAAAGAAAGAAAACAAACGAAGTCGTGAGATTTGTGGCACGATAATTCCTAAATTTAGGATCTTAATTGTTTTGCAATTTTTAAAAAGCATATTTTAATATTAAATAAATTTATTTCTGTTGGTAGCAAAACAATTCGTTTTACCATAGTGCCTGGCATTGACTATAGTATTTTTATCTTTTGGTAATATCTGACACTAATATACATGACATGAGCCCAGGTTGGTATATGATGTAACTATTTATCGCATGTTCAAATGTGGTAAGTGTTAAAATAACAACGTTAAATTATTCCCATGACGCAATAAGAAAGAAAAAGAAAGAAAGAAAGAAAGAAAGAAAGAAAAGAAAGAAAGAAAGAAAGAAAGAAAAAAAGAAAGAAAGAAAAAAAAGAAAGAAAGAAAGAAAGAAAGAAAGAAAGTCGTGGAATTAGTATAAAACAAGGAAATTCCTAAATTGCAATTAGAATCGCATACACTTTTAAATTGTTAAAGTATTTCAATATCAAATTAATTTATTTCTGTTGGTGGAAAATCAATTCATTTTACCGCGGCGTCTGACATTGACTATAGTATTTTTATCTTTTGGTAATATCTGACACTAATATACATGACATGAGCCCAGGTTGGTATATGATGTAACTCTGTTCAATGCCGCTGTTAAAACAGAAAAGAGAACATGGTCATTTGCTTATCAGATCTCGTCTCATATAATGTCAGATTATATACAACAACATGTGGTTCTATGTTCCTGCTTCACATTTATTGGGATATTAGCATATTATATAACTTTGACCATTTAACAAATACAAAAAGAGATGTCCGAGATATCACAAGAATATATATACTATGAAGAAAGTGTATTCGCTTCCAACACAGTAACAATTATTTAATCGATTCAAGTTTTCAAAGATAATAGACAATTTAAAAAAAACAAGAACAAAAAATGAAATTATTGTAACTGCACGTAAAAAATCAAGTACAAATGTATATTGAAAGCATTTTAACTATCGGAAACTGCCTCATGTGACAACCTACTTTTTTAACTTCTATAATTTATTTCCTTCTTTAAGAGCATTTCCAAACACAAGAATCCGGTTTCACCGCATGTTACCATTATCACGCAATTCCCCTTTAATCTAATCAAAATTTTGTAAAGGACGTTTAACAATCGTACAAATTATACCTAATCAGGTTTTTGTATATAGAGAGATTTTCATTCATATTTTCTTCCGTAAGTTAAACATAATCTTCTTTTCTGAATGAATGATATCAGCTTTGTGTTTGCATTAATGTTGAATTTTATAACATTGTTTATGATTGAGGAAATTTTTGTCAATAAACTTGCATTAATTTAAGAGACATTCAGTCAAGTTAGAAATCCACCGCACTCAAACAGAACGAAGGGAAATACAATGTAGACCAAAAAAACAACAACCTAAAACAAGTCGTCCGTACAGTTTAGTTAAGGAAAGTATGAGACCGCACTCAAACAGGGAGAGGGTAACACAGGAGGGTGCCCATTGGCAATAAAAAAACAAGTCGTCCGCGCTCAACGAGGGTAACAGTCGTCCGCGCTCAACGAGGGTAACAGTCGTCCGCGCTCAACGAGGGTAACAGTCGTCCGCGCTCAACGAGGGTAACAGTCGTCCGCGCTCAACGAGGGTAACAGTCGTCCGCGCTCAACGAGGGTAACAGCTAGTCGTCCGCGCCCAAACAAGACGAGGATAACACAGTGTATATAGGTAAGGAAACAAATCGACTGAGCTCTTACAGGACAAGGGTAACACAGTGTGGGCAAGTAAAGAAGTCGACCGTGCTCAAACAAAATGACGGAAACACAGCGCTCAAATAGGACGAGAGTAACACACGATGTGCAAGAAAAGAAGACGACCTCGTTTGAACCAGGACAAGGTTGACGTGAAGAAGTCAACAGCGCTCAAACAAAATGATGGAAACACAGCGCTCAAATAGGACACGATGTTCAAGAAAAGAAAACGACCTCGTTCAAACCAGGACAAGGTTAACACAGTATTTGTCAAGATAAAAAAGCACACAGGATATCAGTAACAATCTATGTTTTAATATTGAATATATTAACACCACAATTAAACAGTATCATACCACCGCGTAAAACGTCGCCCATAGATGCTGCATGCAATCTGGTTAACCTTAGTGGCCCTAAATCCTCATAAAAAGGGTATCCTTAAATTCACCTGTCGCCCCATATTGTGGCTTTTAGTACAAGATATCTATCTAATTTCTATCTGATTTCAAAGCTTTTCCGGCCATCAACGAGGCAGTATAGCAAGTTGTTGCTGTGTTGTAGAAATGTATATCATAGATATGAAATCTAAATGTATTCTGTTTCTTAAAGGCTGAATTTATATCAGGTATGTTTTACAATGTTTTTAATACAGAGAAATGATAATGATAAACAAATTTAGTGTAAATAATATACATGTTCAGAAAACCCGTTGTGTCGGGAAATCCTACCCGCTAGATCAAGGTTGTAAATCTTTTTAACGATAACATTTGTTTCCACATCGTTTATGACAATGACAGTCGCTTAAATGAAGCCCATCATACACATCATATCAAATGTTAATAATTTTCGTTCCCGTTTTCACATTCATTTCGTTCATATTTTGAAACAAGCCATAAAACAAAGCAACGAAAATTATCTCTATTATACATGTATTACATTTACTACATTTTTTTTATTTCCAAACAAAGTTTGATTTGTAAGTATAAACATAAAAACGTATGATATTCCTGTCATGATTTAACTGGAAATTCTACTTCTATATTTATGAACGTTATATCAGAAAAAAGACTTGGAGCCCATCTCAATATGGATGATGTTTTACATTATATACATTTTTTAGTTTATATAGCATCAGATAGCTGCTGTCTGAAAATGAATAAGAAAGTTTGTCGAGGTATTAAATAGAAATATAAATGCGTTTTCAAAATTGGACCTTTAATATTAATTGATAATTAAACGGGTATTTATGGCATCAGAAGTTTAAACATTAAACGGCAGCTACTAATAAAGGACCAAAAAGGGAATTAGTATTTTGTATAAAAAATACATTCTGGTTGCTTATTGCACTGTCTGTCATTACTGTTTTTGGCGCAAAAGTTTTCAATTTCACGTTCAATTTTCATGAAAAA